TAATTTGGATCCCAAGAAAATAATGAAGAGACCCCAGATTTTTGAGATCAAATTCATTTGTTAAATCTGCAATAACCTGTGCAATCATCTCAGTGGCATTTCTAGTGATTATGATGTCATCTACGTAGAGCAACAGAATCATAAGTGAAGAACCAGAACTCTTGACAAAGATCGATGAATCAGAATATGTATTGTGGAACCCCAATTTGGGCAGAAAGCTTGTGAACCTGTCATTCCAAGCCCTTGGGGCTTGCTTGAGTCCATAGAGGGACTTATGTAATTTACAGACTTTAAGAGGATGATGATGGTCTTCAAATCCCAGAGGTTGGGACATATAAACTTCTTCTTGTAAAATGCCATGAAGGAAGGCATTTTTTACATCTAATTGATGTAAAGGCCAATCATGATGAGCTGCCAAAGCTAACACTAACCTGACAGTGGTTGGTTTAACAACTGGACTAAATGTTTCCCCATAGTCGAGTCCATGCTCCTGATTAAACCCTTTTGCAACAAGTCTCGATTTGTACCTCGCTATTGTCCCATCAGAATTCCTCTTGATTTTAAATACCTATTTGTAGCCGACAAGGTTCTTATTGTGTGGAAGATCCACTAGAGTCCAGGTTCTTTGATGATGTAAAGTTGTAATCTCTTCATTCATAGCCTCATTCCACACTGGTTCTTTCAAAGCTGACTTATATGTTGCAGTCTCTGTGGTAGTAAGATCCACCCCTCCAGAATCACAAACTGATGCATACAAGTTTTTATGCTTCACAATACCATTTTTGGATCGAGTCTGCATGGGGTGGAGATTCATTGGTGGAATCTCAAGAACTACTTGGAGAGTCTCAGGACAGAACTCAAGTGTCATAGGGGTTGATGAAGATGGAGATGGAACAACAATAATGGACTGTGGTGTGGTCGGGGTATCAGTATCATAAGAACTAGAAGTCCGCAATACATCTGGGGACTCAATAGATCTGTGACATGACTCTGTATGCATATGAGGTGATTGACTATGTGTTGGAGATGGATGTGCATGTATTTGAGGTGACTGAGATCTAGTAGATGGAGTATCTCTAGGTGTAGATAAAGTATGCACTCTAGAATTTGAAACTGGTGAAACAAGAACATTTTGAAGATTTGGAGTTGGTAGTAGTGCATTGTCAAGTAATGGAGCGGGAGTAAGAATCTGAGCTTTAGGGTAAACAGGTAGTAATGGAAATGGAAACTCGAGTTCATTGAATAGGACATGTCTAGAAATGTAGGACTTTTTGGTTTCCAGATGATAACAGATGTACCCTTTGTAGTGAGGAGCATATCCCAAAAATAAGCATCGAGAGGTTTTAGGTTGTAATTTTGAGGTATTATATGGTTTAAGGAGAGGATAACAAGAACAACCGAATACCCTTAAGTGAGACAGATCAGGGATAGCATCATAGAGTAATTCAAAGGGTGATTTGTTATGAAGGACAGTAGTTGGCATTCTATTGATTAAGCAGGTTGTTGTATGACAGGCATAAGTCCAAAAGAATGAAGGTAAATGAGCAATTTGTAACAATGTAAGGGCAGTTTCTACAATATGCCTATGTTTACATTCTGCTAACCCATTTTGTTCAGGGGTATAGGGACAAGAAATCTGATGAAAAACACCATGTTCAATGAGAAATGTTTGAAATTTTTTACTAATAAATTCTCCTCCTCCATCACTTTGCAAAATTTTTATTTTGGTTGTAAATTGAGTGCAAACATAATGATAGAAAGAGACAAATGTACAGAAAATGTCTGATTTATTGATTAAGGGAAAAATCCAACTAAATCTGGTACATTCATCTGTGAACAGAACATAGTATTTATACCTATCTAAAGATTGACAAGGTGCTGGACCTCACAAATCACTATGTATCACCTCAAAATGAACCACATACCTAGTTTGAACAGACTAAAAAGGTAACTTGCTGAATTTCCCCTCTAAACAACTTTGACACATTGTAGAAAATGGATCATGTACAGTAACTATGCTAGACTTCTTAAGCATTGTAGAAGAAACTGAGTTGGAAAGATGACCTAATCGGTTGTGCCAAAGAGTTGAATTTACTAGTTTTCCCAAGCAGGCCATGATTTTTGAAGTTGAAGCAGACTGGTGTGGTATAAAAGATGGTATAAGATAGAGTCCATTGTTGCATACTCCCTGGAATATAATTCTCGTTGTGGCCTTGTCTTGGATCCAAAAAGAGAAAGCATCAAATATTAACCAACAATTGTTGTCTAAACATAATCTATGCACTGATAAAAGATTATGAGACAATCTAGGCACATAAAAAATTGAATTCAGTTTCAAAGGTCCTCAAGAGAGAGGTGTCTATGTGAGACACTTGCAAACCTTCCCCATTTGTAATCTGGACCATTTCAGTATTTGGATATGGTGATGCCAAGCTCAAATTCCTCATATCAGCAGTCATGTGGTTTGTGGCCCCAGAATCAGTGAACCAAACTTCAGGTGAATATTGTGTGGGGGTAGACAAAGGTGCAGAGTTAGACATTGTAGATGACATCATATGATTGGATGGCACAGAGTGTGAGTATGTGGTATTCATGGCTGTCATGTGTGGGACTTGATTAGGAGATTGATTCCTAAATAAGCAAGTTCTTGCAGTATGATTTTTCCTATCACATATTTGACAGGGCTCAATAGGCTCAACATTTCTAAAATTACAAGTTGTAGCAAAATGTCCTTGTTTAGAGCAAATCTGACAGATAACATTTGAAGAAGATGCACCACTATTGAATGAGGACGAAGTCCCAAGAATTCCAGGAGCAAAATCATGCACAGGCTTGGAATTATAATACCTTTGTCTTTGATTGTTGTTAAACTTCCCCTTACCTTTAAATTTTGACCTGCCACCATTGAAGAAACTGGATTGACCAGAATGTTCATTAAATCCGGAATTGCCTCCATTGTTGACTGTTTGAGTATTGTTTTGGACACCATTTGGAGAAGGGTTCCCAAAAGAATAACTTTGTGATCCTTGACCATTGTTCTTGGCCACCATAGCAGACATAAAGGGCATTGAGAAATTGCTCTCAACCGTGGCCTCCTCTGCAAGTAACTGGGAACATAACTCCTTGAGAGATATAACACTTTCCCTTCCACGAATAACACATCTGAAAGTGTTATATTCTGCATGAAGACCATTGAGAGCCAAGATCATAATATCTTCATCGGCAAAGACAACTCCGGCAGTTGCAAGAAAATCATGTGCTGCTTTAATACGTTGAAGATACATCAATACAGAATCATAACCTTTTTTGATTTTCTGAAGATCAACTTTCATCTGGAAAATGGAAGTACGACTAATAGTTGAAAACTGTTCTTGAAGCCGAACCCAAAGATCTCTTAAGCCGATACTGCCTATGGCACAAAAGATGGCAGAGGAAGACAAAGTTACAGTGAGAAGTTGCATGAGAGCCTTGTCATGCATCTTCCAAATCTTGTACTCATCAGCTTCAGCTTGTGGGGTTGAAGACGCACCAGTTAGTGCCGAATCAAGAGACCCATATGAAGAAAACTGAGGAGGACACACGTTTGTGCCATCTACGAACCCCATAATTCCATAGCCTTCGAGCATCAATTGTAACTGAAACTGCCATTGAAGATAGTTGGAATCATCCAACTTCACAGTAACCGAATTAGAAACTAATGAAATCAAGTTGGTAATCGGTGATTGTAAGATTTGCAACTGATTCGCAGTGATCATTGTGAAAGAATTTGAGTGAGACAAAAAAGCAAACACTTGGCGTGCCAGAACTCCCCAAAAACAAATCGAAGAATTGGGCAAGAAAGAGCCCGAAATTCCAAGAGACAGAAGAAGAATCAGTATGTTGAGGTCGTAGCGGAAGTAAACCAAGGATCGAGAAAGCTCGAATGGCTTTCAAGACGATGATACCATGTTAAGTAATATGCAAAAAGTAAAACAGAGATATCACAGATGAGGAAGAAGAAGGAAATAGAGAAGGTTTAGAGAAAGAGAGCGAGAGAGAGAGGGAGAGAGAGAAAGAAAGAAAGAAAGAATGAATTGTCGTTCTAATGTTTCTTGATTAATCACCGGTTACAAAGAGTACAGTTGCTATATAGATGAGTACATAGCTAACTGCCTTAACCAACTCAATTACTTACCAACAATCCTAACTAATTATTTTAACAGCCACATTCCTAACTGCCTTATCTATTTGGTTGATTACATGTGTCATGATCCACACTCTCCATATCCTATATATTCTAACAATAATGACAAGAAGAAGATGAATGACACTAACCTGCACCAATTGGAGACATGGTGGCTTGAGTTCACAGGTTGTCTTCTACTTCCAGTACTTCAATAATATCTCTCTGCTACATGAATAGGGTTCAGCGTATTTGAGAGATTAAGCGTATGGAAGCAGGGACTTAACCATAGTATTTATATCATTAGGGTTTAATCACAGCCGGCCTATTATTGGTTGTGAAAATCAAACCCTATCACTTAAGTGTTTAAGTCCCACCATGATACTGTATCTTTGTAGTGAAATCCATCAGATTTCTTTAGGTCAATTGCAAAGGATAAGACTCCATAATCCTTATTTCATTAGGACTATTAGATTACTTAAGTTGTTAACAACTCGATAAACAAGTGGCCTACAACATAAATAATCCAATACATCATTCATTGTCATCACAACCTTACACGGAGGAGTTTGCCTGGATACCAAGGCTTCCGCATCATCCGCTCCGCTTTCAACACCTATGTCATTGAGTTTCTTAAGAAGAATTGAGTATAACTGTGCCAGTGGTATGCTGCCATGTGCATCCATATTGTTTGCTTTCTGATATGGTGATCGCATCTGGATTTTTCACCGTAAGTAGATTTTCATATGTTACAAAAAATAATAGTAATAATAAAGTGATTTTATGTTGCTTGTATGTCATAAATTTGGATTCATACCCGTCCAATGGGGTCTAAAACATGAGAAAATCTGGTGTACGACAGACTGATGCGGTGTAAGTGCAGCCACGAACACAAAATCAGGACCTTATGTATTTCTCATCACCCAAGCTTACCTGTCAATAGAGTTTGACATACGATCGCTCATACACAAGCTCTCCTAAAATAGAAAAGTTGGCAAAAAAGGAATAATAAAATGACCTTCATATTATTTTCATGATGTTGCTGCGAAATTATTATTCGTGATGTTCATTCAAACTGGTCCTATGATCAAGATATTAAATAAACCAAATTACAGAAGCCTTCCTACCTGCCACAAGGAGTCATAATCAGATAGGCAATAAATAAATAACAAGTAATGGTATCTGGACGCACATAATTGGCCGAATTGTTATAGATTATCTAAAACACACATGATCCAGGTACAGTTGTAGAGTCCTCCTCTATTTTAGAGTACGTCAGTACGTTTACTCTTTTGCGTCTAAATAATATTATTGAATAAATAAACCTATAAATATATGTATGTATGTATGTATGTATGTATGATGAGGCTAGTGCTGCTGCTGGGTCTTGAAATGTCCAAACCATGTCCTTTCTTGAAGTCCCGAGTCCAAAACTTCTTATAATACTCAGTGTAGGTGTCTGGGAGAGTTTTTGCTGGGCTTATCAGAGCATCGTCTTCAGGGCAGAAGAATGAAGCTACTGAAAGCCTTACTCTATCAATATGGGTAAGGGCTCGATGCCACACACTTTGTAAATCCCATTACTTAGGGTCTGCATCAACCAATAATTTTGAATTTACAGTTACATTGCAAGCACAATGTTTTTTCTTTTTGAAAGAACTTATGTTTTGAGAAAATCTCACTCGCTCACGGTCAATTTAATTTACATTTTGATCTCATTTATGGAAATGGTTGATATTCATGTAAAGAATTAGCTTTTACGGTTTCAATTTTAGGGTATAATACGATAATTATTATGTGAATATGCTTAAAGAATCGATGAAAAAACCTCATTCCTTCAATTTCCTTAGCTTTGTTTGAATTTCTCACTATAGATGATTGTTTTAGTGTGTAACTTCACAATTGGATAGTGTTCGAGTTTGAATTCACAATCTGATACTAATAACCTAAAGTCAAAGATAAAAATGCTATTTTTTTCCTTAAGTAATCAACTCTCAACAAATAAGATTATAGTTAATAAAATTGATGGCGTGTGTATGGTTTTTCAAAACATTCCACTTTAAAAAACAGAAGTAATACATAATAATATTTTTGTATTATATGCTCTGTGTCTGTGGAAAAGGTAACTTTCTTCTTTTTAATATGAGCCATCAGATTAATCTAATAGTACATTAAGCTATCAACTTAAATAATCTCTGTCACAGAGAAACAAAATCCTAACTGATCAAAAAAAAAAAAAAAAAAAAAAAAAAAAAAAAAAAAGAGGATAGAAGACGGTTTCATGTCATGTCGAATCTCTTCCATCTAGAAAATCTAATCTCCTCATCAAATTTCCATAAGTCAATCCAATTGTATAAACCCTAATGATTGTTCACATCAATTCAATTCCATTTTTTATCAATAATATCGAAACTCAGTTAGTTACAAAACCTCAAAATTGGGTTCCCCTACTTCTTAAACGTGTGAACCCTTTTTTTACATTAAATTTTATGTCGGTGGTGAAAATTTTGAAACAGGTCATTCTCCCTTTTCATATGTGAAAAGAAAAAAAATAAAAAACTCATGAGGAGAGAAGGGGAGTGAACGATCGAGAGAAAGATGGAGAAATGAAGGGGATGTGGGGGAGATAGATGGTTGGAAAAGACGAATGAAGGTTTCACGCGAATTTTTTTTTTTAATTTAATCAGTTTGCAAAATTATTTTGTTTCAGTGTAATAGGAATTATTTAAGTTGCTAGCTTAACCTACTCATAAGATTAATCTAAAAGTTTATATGAGAACAAAACCGCACATGTCCTCAAAATAAGGACCTTAAGAGAGCAGTATTCGTGGCATGTATGCTTGTTTTGGGCTTGTGCAGGTACCACTTGAAAGATGTTGTTCTTGAAGGAGGAATTGCATTCAACAAGGCCTATGGAATGACTACTTTTGAGTACCAAGGCACTGACCCTAGATTCAACAAGGTTTTTAACAGGGCAATGGCTGACCACTCTAGCATTGCCATGAAGAAAATTCTTGAGACCTACAAGGGCTTTGAGGGCCTCACATCCGTCATTGATGTTGGTGGTGGCATCGACAGTGTTATTCACATGATTGTCTCTAAGTACCCCTCAATTAAGGGCCTTAACTTCGACTTGCCTCATGTCATCAAGGATGCTCCCCAATATCCATATATGTTCTTCGTTTCTGATAATTTTTGTTGTTAGTTACTGTTTGGGCCTGAATAACAACTTGAGCTGAGATGAGTTGACCCAAGGACCATGGTTCTCAGTCTAGTAAAATCTTTGAAGTTATTAGGATTTTAGGCCACGAGTAGGATCAGTTCGACCGAGTCCTCATGGAGGTAGGACTATGAAAAATTTAAGTATAGGGGTGACTTGGTCGAGTCCTGCACAAACTGGAATTGCAAAGATCAGTATAAACTATGGATAAATATGAATTATTCTAAGGATCTGAATGCCTACGCGACCATATAAAGATGAATGAATCTCACCATGGGACTAGGTTTAGAGCTCTGATGAGAGTTAGAGAAGCCAAGACTAAATAGAGATGAACTTTTGGCTAAGAAGGCATAAAGGGAATATTCAAGCAAATATTGAGCAAAACAATCCCATTAGGACTCTGCCTTGGCATACTTGTTTATCATGAAAGCTTTGCGTATAAATAGAAGAGGCTCTTCAACATTGAAAAGCCCTTTCAACTCAACAAACAACTCAAACGCTCTACATGAAAACCCTCGCTCTACGCAAAACCCTTCTCACACTCCTGAGAAGAACACTAACTGTCCTAGCCCAATGGAGCAGTAGAACTAGACAAATTAGGAGCACCTTCAGTTCGGATAAGTGAACAACATTGTTGTTCATTAGTAGGTTATTTATTCAAGTCTTGGCAGGTGAAGAGTTTGCAGTTATTTCGCCTAAATAAGTCATCTCAATAGCTCCTCAGCAAAATGAGGGTTACCTAATTACCATTTGTTCGGCACAATGAAAGTTGAACTAGTTATTGAACCTAGCAATGATCTAGTAAACTTGTCTTCAGGTTCTAGAACCCAAGGCCGAGATGTGTTCCTTCCTCTGCCCAAATCGTTCAAGTGTAGAAGTCAACAGTGCATTCTCCACTACCACCACATCGATTATACTTGCCTGACCAAGTTCAGTTATGAATTGGCACGCCCACATTCGTTATTCTTAAGTTAACTCATAATCACTCGGCATTTGCACCAAGTAGACATTGTAATTTCTAGTGTCAACAATTACTTAAAAGCATTCACCTTTACCCTCTATCTCTCTCAAGTACGATCTCTCTTCCTCTAATATTTGCTTATATAAAAACAAATCATTGTTGTATTATTTATCATTTTTCCTAATGAATATGAGGTCTATGAATGTTGGATATAGGTGTGGATATGAGGTCTAATGAATATAAGCCCAAAACAAGCATACATGTAACATTTTTTTCTTTTTGAAAGAACTTATGTTTTGAGAAAATTTCACTCACTCAAGGTCAATTTAATTTACATTTTGATCTCATTTATGGAAGTGGTCGATATTCATGTAAAGAAATAGCTTTTACGGTTTCAATTTTAGGGTATAATTAGAAAGTTTGCCCGCACGTTGCTACGGGAGTGTCAAATATATTGCAAGTATTGTATATAAATTTACATAAGGGAACAAATATGTTGCAAGAATTGTGTGTAGAATTTATAAAACATGTACCAAGTATTTGCATAAAATATATAGTTGTTACTTGTTGAAATTATAATAGCTTGTACAAACATGAGTTTGAAAGCTTGCAAATCACGGGAGGTTGTCCATTCTGTTACAAAGATACAAAACCAAAATATATATTTTATCAATTTTCGAGAGCATAAATGGACATATAAAATTGTAGGGTTGTTGACCCTAAAAATTACAAAGCCTACGTGGCGCACAGGCCGAGTAACTAATAAGCTAACTACGTCATTAGGTTGAATGCGGGGCGTGTCAACTCGTCGGCCGAGGAGTAAAATTTGTTGATGTTGCGTTGCTGACTTCTTTATCTTGCGACTGCGGCCGAGGAAGGAACAAATCTCGTCCTTTGGATTCTCGAGCTTGAAGACAAGGCTGCTAGTTCTGTGAAGTTCAGAAATCGTCGGCGCCAGATTCGGTCACAGTGATTATATTTGTGAGAGTATAAGCACGTCGAATCGACACCAAACTATACAGACACAAGTATTCAAAGGTGATATATGCCTTAATGGTGAATGTGGTTCGGCCTTCAAAATGTCGAACTCTGAAACTTACTTGTGAGTATCCAATCATAAAATCACTCGGCGTTCAATGCGCTGAATGTCGTAACTCATAACACCTTACTTCGCCGAGAAAACTAATAAGATGACCTCTGTCAATAAGGATTCGGAAACCCTTCTCGACTGAGACTTGAATAGGTAACTGATAGGAGCATATTCATGCGACTTAAATGGCTTGTTCTCGTGCATTTACGTTATGTTTCTTTAGTTATTTTAGTACTTTAAGCTATTTTCGTGTGTTTATAGGTCCAAAGGGCTAAAGGAGCAAAAAGATGCATTTTGGAGACTTTTGGAGCACTTTTGGGCTAAGGATGGATAGCTTATGCTTGGAGCCAAAGTGTTGGACGAAATTGAAGACCTAATTGAAGACCAAAGTGTTGGAACCTTGTTCTCTTTAGCTTTAGGACATTTAAAACCTTTCCTAATCCCAATCATGCCATGCATAACACACATCCATTCTAACACATTGTCATTGCACATGCATTTCCTTCATTAGTTAATTCACATGCTCCATACTTATCATCACCACTCATTACTTATCACATATCATCACCACTTATCACTTATCATTCACCACTTATCATATCATACATTCATTTATCACTTATCATAATCATTCACTTATCACTTAACATATCATACACTTATCATTTATCACTCATAATCACCTACAACATCCACCTACTTCACCTACAACATCCACCTAATTCACCTACAACATCCACCTACTTCACCTACAAATGACATAGCCATATGTTCCCTCCACTACTCCTATAAATACCCTTGCATTCATTCAATTCACATCTCATTTCATACACAACACATTACAAACACATTCTCCCTTCCCTAGCCGTGAGCTTCCCATCTCTCCCCTTATAATCCAAACACCATTTTTCCATTCCCCTTCCACTTCTCAACCACTCCTCTTCCATTCCACACTTCCATCCCCCAAACCAATTATCCCTAGACCTTATGCTACAATAAAGAGGAAGAGAAGAGGGCCTAAACGTTCATACAATTCAAGTTTGAGTTGTTGGAATGTTTAGGCGTTTCTTTGATTTCAATGTTTAATTTCAATTCTCTTTGTTTTGTATGAGGAACTAAACCCCCCTTTAGCTAGGGGGTGATTTGAAATATATGTTTATACTTGCAATATAATTTGATTACTTCTAATTGCGTTTCATAAGTTGTGGATTCAATTTGTTTAACCGTTTGATTGATAACTTATTTATGTATGTTTATTGAGAATGCGCGCTTAATTTTCATGCATAAATATGACGCTAGAATATAAGTGAGTTTCACCTAATAGTTACGAACTTATATTCACAAGTAGTGGAGGTTGCTTATAAACAATCGCGTTAAATGAATTCTTGGCACTAGTTTCATGCGTATTCCATAGTAACGAATGCCTCGTCAACACTTATAGTTTTCATGATGCTTAATGATCTTTGATTGTATCTTTATTGTGCTTTTCACGTAAAGGACTTTTGGAGAATGTTGTGAATTGCGTTGCGCTAACCCATCCAATTCATTAACTTAAGGAAAACTTGACGGTTAATTTAAGCGGACCTAATTGACCCAGGGCGTTGAGAATTAATGATTTGTTGAAACGCAATTGGAAATCTTTTTATTATGCAAGTGTAACATGTGTGGAGATGAACCCCTTGGCTATTCCATCATCCATATTTTCATCATATTCATATTTACATTCTGCTTTAATTACAATTTGTTCATTTAGTTTAATTTCGTTCAAAACTCAATCCCCCTTTACTTTCTTATTCTTTAGTGCTTAGAATCTGTTTAGTTTATGTTTTAAAGCATTTTGAGTTTTTGGTTTGTCTTAGTGTTTTAAACTTTAGTTTTGCATTCTTTGAGTCTAGGATAGCGTTTTATATTGTTTTTACGTTTTTGTGTCAGTTTCCAAGAGATTTGCAATCCCTCCTAATCCCCGGTCCAGAACGATCCCTACTTGCATACTTACTACAATTGTCAAAAAGAGGGTTTAATTTATGCGCGTATAATTCTCGTATCAAATTTTGGCGCCGTTGCCGGGGATTAGCAACTTTGCTAATCTCTTGGATTGTTTTATTTTCGTTTGTGTGTATATATTTTTAGTTTTATTTTAGACGCAAGACATGGCACTTGATAGTGCTTCTCTTTTGTCACAGCTTATGGAAGAGTACCAAACGCAAAGAGTTGGTACATTTGATCATAATCAATCAAGGAACGACGTGTTTTCCAATACTTACAATTCCGATTGGAGTGATCATTCAAACTCTATATGGTGGGAACCTCAACATATTCAACAAGAAGGATATTGGCAGCCTTATGAGGAGTTCTATTCAACGTCTATGCATCCACCACAACCTCATATTCAATATGCCCAACCAAACTCAAGTTCGTCAATAGATTATAATCAAAAGCTTAATGAATTACTTTGTTTGGTGCAGGGCTCACAAAACCAAGTCGAGGAGACTCAACAAGGAGAATATTGGCAACCATATGAGGAGTTCTATACAACGCCTATGCAGCCACCACAACCTCATATTCAATATGCCCAACCAAATTTAAGTTCGTCAATAGATTATAATCAAAAGCTTGATGAATTAATTTGTTTGGTGCAGGGCTTACAAAATCAAGACAATGAGGCTCAACAAGAAGGATATTGGCAGCCGTATGAGGAGTTCTATTCAACGCCTATGCAGCCACCACAACCTGCCCAAAGTAATGTAGGTAATTCAAATGATAATGATACGATTTTTCAATTACTTACTACTCTGGAAAAGCAAATTGGGCAGATAGCGGAGTTCGAAGGACAATTTTGCGACCAAGGCGAACTCCCTAGTTCAACCATTGCAAATCAGAAGGGAGAATTTGAAACCACCAATGCTATCATGTTGAGAAGTGACAAGGAGGTTG